GATTATATACTTGTCAGATATCCTCTGCTGATCGTTTATTTCAAAATGGTACTGGCATCTTTCCTAAAACAAAGGCAGAAGGTCATCTTGATGTCTTTCAATTGCATTGCTGGTGGGCTTTGTACTTAGTGACTCATCTGGCTCTGTTCTTTCTGGTATGGCTGTGGAGTAATTTTTTTAATCTGTATCCTTCTGTGTTGTCAAGCACAGAACGCTACACGGTGTTGTCATCTCTACTATTTTGAGTACAACTTGTTGAGTGAGCAATTACAGTTTGCATTTCTCTACCTGCGAAAAGATCTCTTAGAAAAGAATTCCTTAAAAAAATTGGAGTGTGACTCTCTCTGAAGTCAGTTCTGAATGATGAAGTAGAAATAGGTATTGGAAATAATCCCTCTTCCTACTTGGGTATCCTGAGACCAATGCACTGTATGAAGAAGGGTCAACATAACAGCCAGATCCATGACTTGGAAACATTTCTTCAGCTGCCACTTTTGTTTTGCGAATGACTATACATTTCTCTTAAATTTTCTCTCAACAAGGAGTCTTAAAAATACACTGTGAATTGCTGTTTGCAAGAGGACAGTTCACAAAATCCTAGTATCCTCATTTTTTCCAGTGTTTGATGGTGGAAGTAAGAGCAACACACAGGCTCCAGTTCAGCTATTCAGTTATGAATATCTTTGCCAAAGTGAAAATGCAGCTGAAAACTGTTAAAAGCCACTATTGGTTCAAAGTTCTCCCATTTGGTCACTTGTTTGCACGCTACCATTTCTACACTGGAATCTGGTTTCTTTTTTAAGTGTATTAATCATATTGCAAAGTTCTGTAAGTACACATCTCACACCTACTCCACAAAAAGGTGGTGCTGTACTCATTAAATACCACATCTTATGTTGCATGTGTTCTCAAGAAGACCTGTCCTAGCTTTGCACCTATCAGCAGAAACAACTTGTGCTTTTAATGAGTCCTGAAGCTTTTCTTCTATTCACCTGGATGTAGGACTTCTTTTTCTTACTTTGTTTTTTTTTTTTCCCCTTCTGTGTAGCAATTCTAAATCACTGGCTCATTCTCAGCCTCAAAACATTAAGTATACTCCAGGCGCAGGATATGGGAATTCAGATGCAAGCTCTCTCAGGAGTGCACTAGCTAACTTACTTTCAGAAAGCTGTTGGAAGTATGCTGATCTTTCTGTATTGTCTTGGATGCAAGCTGTTTTCTTTAATCTAACAATAGGGACTTATGAAAAGTTATTTAAGAGCTGAATATACTAAGAGGAGTGAGCTGCTTAGTGTAATTCTTGTCCTGAGAGGTGCTTATATTTCTCATTTATCTCCTTTGATCTCAGAAAAGATGCTTTGTCGCAAATTAGCCTTTTTATCCTCACAAGAAAAGAGTTACTGGGGAAATAACTGAGAAGAAATAAAACAGACATTCCAGATATGCACTGTATATTGTGCCCAACTTCCAGATGTCTGTTTCTTGGTCTTTAGCTTGAATTTGCAAGGTCAGCTTGATGCGTAGTTCAGAACTCTGAATGCTACAAGACAATGAGGTGCATCAGGACAGATTCTCATTGCATTTTAATGTGTGCCCATTGGTAGTAATAGGTCACTTCATGTTCTGCATGGAGCTCTCATATTAAAACTCCTTTCAGTTATTTTAACACTCTTTGGCATAGCTGTGCTTTTTAACCAACAGTGTACGGAGACAGAGGAGCCACTGAACTCCTTCACTTCTGCCTCTGCTGCTATGAGAAATCTGGGAAGCATGTAGACGTACTGAGGGATGTGGTTTAGTGGGGAAATACTGGTGATAAGCAGGCAGTTGGACTGGATAACTGTGGAGGTCTTTTCCAACCTTGGTGATTCTAAGATTCTATGACATAGGCCAGGAGCACCTGCTGCCTTCGTCTAGCTAATATTGTCCTGATCAAAATGGTCCTCTCCTTACTGCTGCATTATTTCTCCTGAAAGACAGAAGTACTAAACCACCTGTCTGAAATTCTCTCTAATCTACATGTGGTATTTGCTTTATTTAAAACATATCATTGTTTAAAAAAAAAAAAAATTGTTTGGGGTGTGGGCTGGTGACATCTGTTACTTCATCCCTCTGCCTAGTCTTTATATCCCAGTATTTGCATCAATTATTGTTATGCCTGCATACAGCAGATTTCCTTTCACCTCAGACTTCTTTGACCTTAACAGATCTTAGTACGCTTAGAAGAAATTGTGCCAGGTAGTATCAGATCTTAAGAGCTCAAAAAAAGCATTTTTTTCTCCTGAATGCAGTTCTGTGATACTTGATGTGCACTGCTTGTTCAAAGAATTCTACACTTGCCATGCACAAGTGACTGTTGGAGTCATTTCATTTGCAGAACCCACAGGCTCCTTTTTTTGCTAAATAACACTGCTCAGCATGTTCTGAAATTGCCTGCTGCTTTGCATCCTTCTGAGAGTTATGTGGTCCATGACTCTGGTTTTGCAACCAAAAAGAATTTGCATAAAATCTGTCTTGAATTGCTATAACCTTCATCCTTTTCCTGAAGTTTACAGACAGGAATGTCATGCATTAACCCTTCTTACTGGAGGTGGTTACATGTCCTGAAGGGCAATGCAGTCACATTCTACTTGCAGTATCTGCATGTACTTCTAACAGTACCTTGCACTGAATGGTACATTAGACCTGCTTGAGTGCATTTCTTGTGCTTATGCTATCTTTTGGTGACTGCATGCTACCAAGGACATAGGTCTTGGTTTTAGAAACAACATTCATGCCTCTCATTTTATGGCTTGCTAATGTGAAAATTACAGCTTTTGCTATACAAGTATTTCAGGATGGCATATACTTAGCCTGCTCAAAAATTCCAAGTTGTTCCTTTTCTGGAAAGCACTGTGTGTGTGTGTGTATATATATATATATATATATGTATATATTTTTTTTCAAAGTACCAAACAGGAAAGCTACTTCATGTGGAAAATCAAGAGTATAATTTTTTTTTTTTAAGACTTTTGATACTTTGAAATGTAAGGGTGGAGAGTTTGCCTCTTCTCAACCTCATCTCTGTTGCTGCTGTGCTCTGCAGATTTAATTCTCTCAAAAGTACCTAGTGAACGAGGCTTGATTCTACAAAATATTCTTGAGAAGAGCCATAATGGGAGAGTCTAACTAATGCAGCTTACTCTGAGTGAAATCTTGTGGTTTTACTAATTGCATCTTCAACTTTCATTTCATCTTAATTCATGGATTTTTATCTGTTGACTTCAAATATAAACCAATAATTTGTTCTGCCAGCACATACAATCATCTATGATAGATACCCTTGCACACAGCAGTGCTCTGGCTACAGCAGTCTGTAGCTCCATTTAGGCCACATGCCAAATACTCAGCCTCGAGGAAGAGTGTGCAGCTTGCATTGCACATTGTGCTGCTTCTACTATGTCTTTAGCAGTATCCAGGCTTTCTAGCTTAAAGATAGTGCATACATGCCCACACTAGCTGCAGTGACCACAGCAGAACACTGTCTGGAGGTTTCTCTAATTTAATTCTGTCCCTCATTGTGATCTGTTTCTCTACCCATGCTTAAAGAGGCATATTAACAGATCTGTGTGTTTATAAAAAAAACAAAAACAAAACACCAGCTTTGTATATGAAAAACAGCCTGTGCAAATGAAAGTGCCCTTTTTTTTATCAGTTGTTTTTCCCAAGGCTTTTCTGTCTAAAACATAATGAATGTATGAATTGTATTGCTACTGAAGATTCAAAGATTTTGGTGACTGTAAGCAGTAAGAATGAAGGTTGCACAATCTGTTGTTGTTGTTGTCAACAAACTCTTGAGATGAAATTAGAGTCTGGAACTTGAAATAACCTCATTTATTCATTGCAATACTTGAACATTTCCTTATTGCTTCTGCTTACTCTTCTGTCTGCTTCATTCAAACAGCACTAATCGGTTGATAGTCCTATTTTTAATTTGTGGGAGTGATTTAATTCCTCTGAATTACAGAAGGGGCAAATGACTTCATAAACTTGAGTAATGAGATTTGTTAAACATTACTTATCATGAGGATCTTTCCTAGAGAACATATCCACTCCAAGGAAATATCTAATTAAAACATAATGGGTGAAGCAGCTTGCTGATTCCCAATCCTTTAAGGTTCCTCCTCTTATGAGGTTGTGTGTTCTTTTGCCTTCCACCAAAGTCAGTGTTAGAGATATGGGATGACCTGGTTGGCAAATGCTAATTAAAGCAGAATGTACAAAACGTACCTGTCCTTCAAAAATAGTGCTACAGTTTTAAAATCAGGCACCTTAGGTAGTCTATTCTTTAATGTACATTCTGAGGCTTTTTATTAAACATGATAATAACAGTCGGATCTGTAATTATCATTATTGTCTTGAATCAGTAAAAGTCAATTTTGAAAGGTCACTTGGGAAAGGATTATAAACAGCCTTATTTAAATGCCCTACATTTTTAACAAGAAAATATAGGTATGATTTTCTAAATTTAAATACATAACATGGGTATACAAACTGGGTCTATCAAACCACAACAGACTTGCCAGAAATTTGAGAGAGCTTCCATTTGAGCAGCCAGTGAGGATAAAGCTGGTGACATGCAATTGCTGCAGTCCAACTCAGGCCTGTGGTGGGATGGTGAGACATCCTTTCCAGTTCCCTGTACTTTCTTCCACCTGGACTCTTCATAGCATGTATGATCTCTGGATCTCTGAAGATGCTACATCCAGAAGATGTGTGTGTCTCAAGAGAATTACATCTGGTCACCTCCGATACACTGAATAATATCTCCCAATATCTCTGGAAAGTGTCCTGTAGCCATATTTTGCTGCTTGAATTCAATATTCCTATTGCTGACTTTGTTGTCCTTGTTGATGCCTTTAGGGTCAGAGATTCACCTATTGATGTGGTGTTTTTTCAAGCCTTGATGTTTCGAACAATGTGTTTTGCCAGCCAGCTAATGTAATATTGTTCCTTTGAAGGCATCACATGTGGAAACTTGAGAGTCTAACTGGTTCTTCACTGTATAGAATGATCAACCTTCACCTTTGGTTGGCCTCCAGTAGAAGAGCAACATTATGCCTCTGGGCATCAAAAAGGTAATGAATGCCCTTCAACCTCTTAATGCTTTTTCCTCCCTGTCTCAGTTACCTGTACCAGACTACTAATGTTTGAGTTCCATAGGTGATACTGATACCAACAGAGGTAACCATGACACTTCAATTTTTAATGCCCTAGGATCTGATTTTTGGGACAGCAGTAATTCTGTGGGTTTTGTTTACCCGCATTTTAGAAATGCATAGTATTCCCAACTCTAAAATGTTGTCCATGGTCTGTTCTGGGGAAAATACAAAGAGCAAAGATGCTGCTTCATGGGGCTTCCAGGTTAGCTTTGCAGAAGTATCTTGTGATTTTAGAAGCTTCTATCTGTAACACCTTCTAAAGGGCCTGGGATTTTTCTAACTAAATTCAGAACTATCAATAGGTGTTAAGGTTTGCCTACCAAATTAGGCAAATACATTTGAGTCCTTTTTGGTTAATATTGTTTTCTTGTTTGAAAAACTTGTTTGAGGCCATTGGTTTTCTGTGTAGTTTACTGGAGGTTGTACACTTGATGAAAAAGCTGTCTTCATGTAACAAACTTCAAGAAGGGGGTCAAGAATAGAAAGGGCTTTCAGGTTAATGTTGCCATATCAACTTTGTGAGTAGAAAATAGAAGATGCAAGTTCCTAGCAAATACAACAATTTAATTCATTAATGTTTAAATGTAGTTCTCAATAGTTTATGTGCAACACAATTCAGTTGTGTGGTCGTGGCTGCTTTCAGAGAGCTAGGTATTACTTGTTGGTGTCAAACCTTTTAGTCTTCATTGCATTCCACAGCTCATTATGCTTCAGGTGAGGTAACTTGATTCATTTATGCACAAGGTGGGCAAGAAACATAAATTTTTAAAACTGATGTATATTTACTAGTGTAATATTGCATATAGAATTAGTTATCTGGTTTGCCAGAGTTTCAAAGCTTGCTGTTTAATTGCACATCATTTAAATCTGATGGCCTGTGTTTTTAGTAGATTTATGCTTCTGTATTTCTGTTCAGCTTCTCCTTAAACTCTTCTGAGCTCCTTTGTGACCTACATGAATTGAAATATAGTCAGCTTAGTGCACTGACAAATGAAAATAGGTGACTAATGTCAATTGTCTTTTGATACTTCATACTCTGCTTGCCAAGAATGCCTCATGTTCTGTGATCATTTAAAATCCTACACGCTCAGAAAAGTCATCTTTTTCACAGACTGATTGCAGTCAGTTGTTAAAAGAATATAATCTTGAGCAAATGCTCACCAACAGCTACCCTTTTTTATATTTGCTTAGTAGAGGAAAAAATAATGAAGTAAGCCTGCAAAGAACCTTGTAGTCATATGGTCTGATCTCCTCTTTCTCCTATGTCGTTAAATCTCATACATGTAAAAGCTCTGAGGTTGGTAACCTACACTTGGCAAAAACCTGTCTTTCAGAAAAGTAATTTTCCAGGTTGGAAGATACAAAAACATTAAAAATTTCTTATTGCCCTCATGAGCTTGTTCCAGTGACATACTGTCAATTTAAGAAGAGAAACAGAGTGCTTCATTTGAATTTGTCTGACTTCAGCTTCTATCACAGCTTCTTGTTATGTTATTCTCTGCTAGATTAAAGAGCTCTTCAGAATTCATATTTTTCTCCATAGAGGTACTTATACGCTGTAATCAAGTCAATCTTTTTGATAGGATAAACAGATTGAGCTGTTTAAGTCTCACTTAGCAGCATTTTTCTTCAATTCTTAGATCACATTTTCAGCTCTTAATCTGCCCCCTCACCAATTTTTAAGTAATTTTTCAAGACATGGGCAAGAACACAGTATACAAGATTGGTCTCTTCAGTGATATATCCAGAGATAAAACTACCTCCCTGCTTCCCGCTCCCCTGATGCAGTTAAATCCTTCTTGAAGCGCTGTCAGTGAGGATTTACAATGAGTTGGTGACTACAACTCCTAAATAATTTTCAGTAAGTGTAGTCTCCCTTCACTACACAGCGCCTACAATCCTTCATACTCACTACAGGGATTTGCTTACCCCAGATGTATTTTGTTGGATAAGACCCAGTTCGCCGTTTATTACCCTTGCGGTTTCTGTCATCTTAGTGCCATTTTCTGATGTGATCGCCTTTTCTCAGAAACAGAGCTGTTTGAAGGTTGTACGCTGTCAGCTACATTTTGTTATCATTTAGACAAATCTTAGTCAATTTAGTATGTGCTTTAATGATATCGTGGGGTACTACGTCTTTCTTTCAGACTATCATTAAAGTCTAAAAACATCAATATGCACTTAGCCAAATGAGCAGTTTCACCAAAGAATAAATTTATAGAAGTTCAATGAGACCCAGTCTTCATAAAAAAGACTGGAATTATTTCTATTCCTTTCTTGGAGATCTTTTTGAATTAAATCTGTTATTCACATCAACTATTGATGCTGACCTACCTTTTGCTGTCAACATCTTTGTCATTTTCTGACACTAGCACCCATTTGCAATTTCAGAAGTATTCTATAGTCTATTACAACATCAGCAGATGAAAGCCCAAGTACCTGTCCTGAAAGGGGGACCAAAAGCTATCTAAGGCTGATGGTAAGGGAATGGTCATGGTTTCTATCTTTCTAAATTACTAGCAGGCTAGAGCAGTTCTTCATAGTCCCTATGAGACTACTTGTTTCTGTTGTAGTAGTGAAGTATTTACTAAACATATTTACAATTCCTGCATCAGCACAAACCATTCTGAAGCTATACTTACTGATGGGCCAATATCACGTTGGGCTCTATTATTTCTATTGGGCTCTGTGTTATTTCTAACACACTTAAAATGTCCTTAGCTGTTTCAACTATAGATTCACCTTGCCTGATAACTCTCCTTATCAGTTTTTGATATAGTAACTTGTAATTCGTATTAAGTGTTATTTATATAATTTATCTTTGTTTTCCATTTTATTCCTGAATGCCACCTTTGAGTTTTTAAGAGAAAGTACTACTTTTTGTGATTGAAGGATCAGAGTCTTTTGGCCATTTATTAAAGGCTTTTAAGAAAGCCATCTTTCAATGTTCTGTTTTTTTTTTTTTTTTTTTCTTTTTTCCTCCTGTCTGTCTTCTTTCCCTCACTACTTTCCTCAGCTTGAGGAAATTAGCTCTTCTGAAGCAGAAGAAATGCATGGTTTTGATTGGGGCTGTTCTTCATTTCCCCACAGTGAGTACAATCAGGCCATGAACACTTGTTCCCAGGCAACTACTAATTTTTAATTTAGTGATATCTACCATTTTTATCTATCACAGTGAAGCCAGAATACTTCTCTCTTGCAGTGAAGGATAGGACTACAAAATTACCTTGTTGTAGTTATTAATGACTTGGTGCATGCTGCAGTTGAAGCTAGACAATTTGTATCCTCACAAACAAGGAAAATGAGGATACTATATGTAAATAAATGTTTAATTCACACCTGAATATTTCAGTAGCTTCCAAAAATCTTTGCCAAACTTTAATCAGGCCTGAATTGTAATGGAAAATGAGCTGTGGGGGGCCTCCAGTAGTTAATTTTGGGGCACTTTCAGACTTTGCTGTAGGAACAGCAATAACACATGGTAAAAAAGAATTTTATTTTTTTTCTTAAGGCAGCAGTTATGAAAAATAAACGGACTAGAATTAAGAACACGTGTGTAGCACTGAATGGCATTGGTGTCCTGGAATAAACTGGGAGAATGAGGTCAGCCGCAGTTCACTCAGAGGCCTGGAAGTAGCCTTTGACAGCTGGTGATGCCGCACCAGGGCTCTGTAAGCCGAGGCACATAAGCACATTGTGTAATTTGGCAGAAAAGCCAGGAGCCTCCTAGGTCCTGACTGTTAGCACCACTGTTTCACCTGCCTGAAGGCTGCTGCTTTTGAGGCCACACACAAGCAGCAGCAGTCACCTTCCTTCAGGAAAAAAGGATGTTAGACTCCTTCCTTAACCTGCTGCAGCCTCTCTAATGTGAGCTGCCACCTCACCAAGGCCTAAGCCTGATTGCAATGTTTTAATTGCACTGCGATTCCTAAAATCGAATTGAAATGCTTCTCACACTGATTCTAGTATGGAATTTGTGCCAGGGGAGGTTCAGGTTGGATATTAAGAAGTGTTTCTTCTCCAAAAGAGTCGTGAAGTCACTGTCCCTGGAGGTGTTCAAGAACCGTGTGGCTGTGACACTAAGGGATGTGGTTAGCAGGTGGGTTGATGGTTGGACCTGGTGATCTCGGTGGTCTTTTCCAACCTCAATGATTCTATGGTCTAGCTCTACATTTGATTTAAAAAAAAAAAAAAAAAAAAAAAAAAAAAAAATGAAGATAGCAAAGCTCCCCGTGAGCACCAGCACAGCCTCTGCCACCGCTCAGCTCCCTAGTGGGCAACAGGTGCCTGGCGCCAAAGCCACTGCTCAGGGCTGCTGCCCCACGGCCATTTTCCCCCACCCGGAGGAGGCGGCGGCTGGCGGTGGGCCTGCGGCGCCGAGGGTATTAATAGGCGGCTCGGGGGGAGCGGCGAGGTCTGACGGGCAGGGCTGGGCGTCTGAGGGCGTGCGGGGCGAAGGCTCGGTCTCGATCGCAACGCGGCACAGGACAGCTCGACTAGTCGGTAGTGCCTTCCCTCATCTCCGGTCCGCGCGAGCAGAGGCGGCGGCTCCACCACGAAGGCGAGATGGAGGGTAAACGCTGCGGTGCCAGAGCCGCCCTCTCTCTCCTCTTTCTCCCCGCTCCAGTGGGGCTGCGGGCTCGGGCGCGGCGCCTGCCGGGGGAAGCCGAGCAGCGCCTCGCTCGCTCCGTGCCCCCATCGGGGTTTTAACCCCTTTCTCCGGGGTTAAAGGGGGTCCCGGGGCAGGGTGGGCCGCTGGGCCGGCTGCAGCCCGGCGGGCAGTGGGGTTTGAACTCCGGCGGGGCAGCAGCTTCGTGCGGATGGGTAGGGAGTGCCTGTTGCATCTCTCTCCTTCCTCTGAGTGCGGCTGGAGATGTATCTGAATGTTTGAATAAGGTGTAGTGCTTGCAACAATT